ATGCGTAGGTAGGTATTATATTCAGTTGGCAGGTTCGGGACAGATGTTTGTTTTACTATATGAAAATAGTACGACTCACTCCACTCTAGGAGTAAATTATAGAGTCCTATATTTCGTTTAATTATTTTGAGTTATGAAAAAAAACAAAATGTATTTTTTTTGCTGTGTAAACTAGGATTTATGCTTGTATGATAACAATCCGACAGCTATTTTCTACTTACCCAATGGACTAGGTGTCATAACTAGAAATTGATTGGCGTAACTATGAAACTGACTAGCTTCACATCAAAAGCTTTAAATATCCCTTTTTTTTTTCTTGGGCCTAAATTATATTATCTTAATCACCTAGGTTTATAGTGTCTTCCAGAACTGGAGTATATTTTACAGCGTAATGTATGTTTCCATTATCCTACCCACAATAACAGCAGATTATAGGTCCAGCTTCGGATTTCATGGTATCCACGCCTGCTCTTGCTTATTATGAGTAGTTTTGGTACTAGAATCGGACTTCTCTGCTAAAGACTCATAAACACACACGTCACAACTCATGATTAATGATTTAATAAAGTGTTTTTATAATTTATTTTCAATGCATAGTAGGGTTGGCAAGCTCACAGACCAATTGGTGTTAAGTTTTTACCAGAACTCATAAACATTAACAACATAAATGCCAACATCAACTTTGAGACATGAGTTCTAAGTGGCAATTTTACAGTAAAACGACTCCTCTGCCCTTCAAACCGAAACGCATTACTGCTTCACGGCAGAAATAGGCATGGTGGTGGTACCTACCCGTGCGGACTTACAAGACGTCCTACCACCAGTTATATTAATAATCCCAATGTGTTATATTATGTTCAAGAAGGATTGCATTCGTATTTTAAGCGCATATAGCAACTTAACGGTAAGCAGCGGCTTGGCTCTGCACCTGGCATTGCTGACGTCCATGGGCGACGGTAACCACTCACCATCAGGTATACCGTATGAACGAACAAGAAAAAAAAAAAAAAAAAATTAACATTGTATTTCAGTAACACCAAAAATTGAATGAAAGTATAATGTTGACAATGAAAATGTTTTTAGGGGGAGTTTCAGGCAAACGCGTCCCAGAAGACAGTGCATGAATAAAACATGAACAGTTTGCACAGGACAAAAGCGTTGCTAGAGCTTCGGAAGCGCGCGCATAGGGACAACAGAAAAATATGTTAACGGAACATCGAAAGAAAGCTCTATGTTTGTTTAAGACAAATCAGTGTCAAATAACAAAATTAATTAAACGGGTGTTATGATTTGCACCAAATTACGATTTTCTTTTTACTGGTGGTAGGACATCTTGTGAATCCGCGCGGGTGATACCACCACCCTGCCTGTTTCTGCCGTGAAGCAGTAGTGCGTTTCGGTTTGAAGGGTGGGGCAGCCGTCGTAACTATACTTGAGACCTTAGAACTTATATCTCAAGGTGGGTGGCGCATTTACGTTATGGATGTCTATGCGCTCCAGTAACCACTTAACACGAGGTGGGCTGTGAGCTCGTCCACCCATTAAGCAGTAAAAAAAAAGCTTTCATCACTTACATAACCTTAAAGCATCTAGATAATATGGAAAAACTAAGTTATGTAAATATTGTTTTCATAGTTAAAATCCACAAAAGCAAAAGTGTCCACTTAGTTCTAAAGTGCTGGTATTGTTTTTCATTTAACACGAATTTCTTGATATCTTCGTTTAGCTGCTTTTCGTTGCGTCCGAGTTTCAAATATAACTGATACTACATATTATAATAATATATTTTTCACTGTGTTCACGTATTGGATCGTTTTCAATTTTGCAGCCAAAAAAGTAACGATTTCATGAATTTTAACTTTCTCTAATTTTCCATTTTTTTTTGTATTTAGGCATGTTCAGAATAATTTATATTTTTCATCTTACGCATTTGATAACGCCAACACGGATGATAATTTAAATAGGAACCTTCTTTAATAAGCTTAGAAATCGTACTTCTTTTGTTTTTAATAATATTCTAATATACAGTTATTTTTCCCTTATTATTGTATTATATACTGATTAAATAAAATTGCCGAATTTCAACACGCATTACTGGAAAAATAGCAAACGAGTTAGAATTTGAATTTCGAACCAGTGATACGAATGAGATTTGGGGTAGTTTTTAATGGATAACTCCTAGTTTACCTAACAGTTCTTACGAATATATAGTTATAGGACCACATGCCCGTTGTCACGACAACAAATTTACTGTACTTATGATTACGGTAACATTAGGGTTATGAGAATTAAATCAAATAGTTCGCTTTTGGCCCCAAATTTGAAAACGACCCTATTACTGGTCTTAGTGGTATAAAAATTCTTAATTTTCAACTAAATGATTAAACTCTAAACAAGTATCCGCTAAAGAAATTTGTTTACTTGTGATAAAAAAATTAATAACATTTTATATAAGTTTTCAAACTACTACATCTATTGTTAATACTTTTTTTAGTTAGTTTAACATTAATAAAACAACAGAATCTGTACGAAAATAGTATCTACATTTCTAGAAAAATGCTAACGAACATATAAAAAAATAAAAGCTCGCTGTAACAAAATTAAAAACATTTTCAGTAGCTACAGACACAGGCGCTTCGTACAGTACCAAAAAAAAAAAGTCGTGTTTCACTGCGCCGTCACCGCCAGAATTGCGATTGGGTTTTTTTTTTAAACTCACTCTTACTCTGTACCCCCTTTGGGTGCATTTTCGAATAAAGGTTTTTGCTTACATTCGGTCCTTTAATTATTTCGGTGGCGGCCACCCGTCGCGTCACAGTACTTTGATTGCTCATTATTTTGCACGAGATTTGTATTCTTCAAAACTGTTATCGATCTCGTCTCGAGTTGTGTGACGTGGGTCATTTTTTGTCGTTGGTTTTTTTTTTAGAAAATAACAGTGAGTCTCGGTCACGCTACGTTGTAGCTTTACTGAAGCATATCTTACTGGTGGCAGGACCTCTTGTGAGTCCGTGTGGGTGGGTACCACCACCCTGCCTATTTCTGCCGTGAAGCAGTAATGCGTTTCGGCTTGAGGGGTGGGGCAGCTGTTGTACCTATACTGAGACCTTAGATTTCATATCTCAAGGTGGGTGGCGAATTTACGTTGTAGATGTCTATGGGCTCCAGTAACCACTTAACACCAGGTGGGCTGTGAGCTTTTCCATCCAACTAAGCAATAAAAAAAGGTACCACTACCCTACCTATTTCTGCCGCGCAGCAGTAATGCGTTTTGGCTTGAAGGGTGGGGCAGCCGTTATACCTGTACTAAGACCTTAGATTTCATATCTCAAGGTGGGTGGCGACGTTTACATTGTAGATGTCTATAGACTTCGGTAACCACCCTAACACCAAGTGGGCTCGTCCGCAATCTATGCAATAAAAAAATAAAAAAAATGGGGTACGTTGTACATAAACTCGTCGTAGGTATGCTTATAACACAGAAGAAAATCTCAGCATTGGTCGTCTCAATGTTAACTACATAATGTGCGTACCTTTAATTTTAGCCTACCAATTCATTCTCACAGAAATTAACAAAAACAATTCTATATACAGCACCGATAATACGAATGAAACAAATGATAAATACCCCGTCAACATCTGAATAAGACAAAGTTAGCTTGAAATTAATAAATAATAATAATAATTAACTACATTAATATTCCAATTGGCGTTATTGAATACATGTTTTCACGTATCGATAGTTAATTACACTTAAACAAACACGCGCTGTATATTTTTCACAATACGTGACGTCACTCACACTGAACAATCCAATGTACAATGTTTAACATTCGTCATACAAACCGAGTTTATTCTTTACGTTGGCATAAGACTTGGATACATGAGATTTAATAATTCACTGTGAACACAAATGTGCGTAGACAGAAAAACATATATTTCTTTAATTTGTTTAATTAATACGATACTGTGGTTTCTTCATATTGTACTGACAAGTAGTTTCAGTAATAAGCCTTTTTGAAGTAAAAACTTCTCTAACAATATTGTGATTTGAAGTCGATGAAACGAAAAAGCGACAGTAAAAAGAGACAGACACATAAATTCGTAAGATTTCACGTCATAGAAAATGAGAAAGGCAGCATTGTACAGTATTTCTTATATTCGTGGTTCTCTTTGTGCTCTGATTCTGAACCTTATATTTGTACTTAATACATTCTGAATGGATTTATATAATATATACGAATAAAATTTAAAATAATTATAAAACTTTGTATCACTATGATCATTACTAAAACCTACAATTATCTTCTACCACGAGTGAATTGCACAAATGTTTTTTAATAATTTATTTGAAAAAACATTTTTTTTAGTTTGTTTTATATTTGAACTGTTGAGCTGAGGCATTTCGATACAAGGTCCGACGTAATTATCTCTAATTACAGTTTACGAAAATCAGCATTGTACCAGCACGCTAGGGTTGCTTTGCTTTGAAATGCCTCATTGGTAAAACTCAGATTGTATGTGACACAAAAGGACACAATAGGGATGTGGCTAATTCGATGATAATTCTAAAAGTCTGCAAGTAGAATACATGGTACAAGCAAATAGCGTCTTGTTACAATACCGTAGAGGAAATCTTAGCTAGTTCAAAATTTATGTTGCGATCGTCCATGAATAAAGTGATAGAAAATTCAGAGTTTCTTTATACATTACATTTTACATAAACATAGTTTGCTAGATGCTAATTTTCCTATGTGTACAAGTAGAATTATTAGGCGCGACAAAACTAAATGTAAACTAAAATCTTTGCTGTCACTATATCTTAATGTAAGTGCGGGTATAGCAGATTTGTCTAAAATATTCAGACTTCGGACAGATGATAAAAGTAAAGATCAATTTTAAAAATAACAACATTTAAGCAGTTATAATAAATTTGTACAAGTGCTTACTATAATCACTTATTAAATATTTAAGCCTATGAATCTAAAAAGAAAACTTACCTAATCTCTTTGATATTTCTGAATTGTGCATCTTGGGATTGTCCTGAGCTATTTTCCGCCTCTGCAACCGAGACCAAACCATGAAGGCGTTCATTGGTCGTTTTATGTGTTCCTCCTGGGATTTCTTCTGCTGCGGCTGCCCGTTCATGGATAGCGAGCCCATGGTGCCTATGGCGCCCATCGCTGACATGTGGCTCATGGGAAAGTGCCCCATCGAGCTCCCGAAGCCGGCCCGGTCGCACATCGCGCCAGCGGCACTGTGGAATACAACTATAATTAAATAAATTTGCTTTTAGGTAAGTATTGGAGTATCCTGACCTAAGAAAGCCAAGCCTCCAGTTCGTTATGGTTATAGTCGGGCATACGAAGATATAATGTATATAACGATACATGACATTTTCAGATTATGAAAATGTTATTTTTGTCATGTATTTGTCATGTCAAATGAATGTCAAGTAATTCTTTTGTTGGCACCGGTCGCCCGCGGTGGTCATTAACAAACCTATTGGCCTAATTCACTAGTTTATTACTGCAACCCCCGAAGCGTCTGCATGGTTAAAATTGTAAAAATTAAACAGTATAGTTTTATACTTAGATGGGTGGACGAGCTGACAGTCCACCTGGTGTTAAGTGGTTACTGGAGCTCATAGACATCCACAACGTAAATGCGCCATCCACCTTGAGATATAAGTTCTAAGGTCTCAAGTATAGTTACAACGGCTGCCCCACCCTTCAAGCCGAAACGCATTACTGCTTCACGGCAGAAATAGGCAGGGTGGCGGTACCCACCCGCGCGGACTCACAAGAGGTCCTACCACCAGTAATTACGCAAATTATAATTTTGCGAGTTTCATTTTTATTACACGATGTTATTCCTTCACCGTGGAAATCAATCGTGAACGTTTGAACTCCGCTTACAGATCATGGGAATAGTAAAAAATTAATAGTATAGTCTACATATTACAACGTTTCCTGAAGTTCAACGCCCACTGAATACTTCTGTGCTGACAAATTCACGAATCAACGACCACATGTGACAACCCGACCTCCCGATGCTCCGATATATATTTAGATATATAATTGTATTGTATATGGGCGGGTGAATTGGATCGCACTGATTCTTTTCTGCAGAACTAGGCAGGGTGATGACAACAAGGAAATATTATGTTGAGGCTATGTTTATTCCACTGACGATCGATAGGTGACTGAACGGTGTAAGCCCCTAAAATTCTCTTCGCCTCTATCTTCTTATATATTGAACTCTATAGTCTCGATCAGAACTCGGTACTCTATCGGAATCATGAGGGAACTTATTATAACTAAAGTGTTATGAATCCGTTTAATAATAGTGCTTATAGTTTGTTTTAGTATTCAGGAATCCATCATGGGAATACGTTTCAAAACATACATAGCTGTTTTTCTCGTAAAGTTAGAGGCAATACTTATAAAAATAGTTAGGTATAAACGCTTTATCATTAAGCTCTACACGCTTCAATGATAATAGAACCTTCTCCTAGAACCTAGAAGATTCTCGCCGGATCGTCTCAGTGAGTCACGATTCCGATCTGGTGGTAGAATCTGCGAAGCACTGCTCTTACTAGGGCTAGGGTTGGCAAATTCTCTCAAGTTGAGCCCGTGAGCTCGTTGCTAACCGTCTGGGCATAGCTGGTATAGCCTCTTATGCTACCAACGAATAGGTAAGGAAAAAAGTCAGTGAAAAAATAAGAAAACAATTTAATCATTCAAATATTTAATACTTTTTAAATTGGTTATTAAATTGAAAGCGCTCCCGCATCGTGTGCCAAGGTGTCTTCTTCGGTCACCTACGCCTGAGCCCCCCAATATCTAATCCCTACGTAACAACGAACCGAACACGTGTACAATGTGACTTTTAATATGCGCCCGACAATTATAGCGTTCGTCAAAGTGGAAAATATTAATATTGTGAAGCGCTAGGGGAGATTGATAAATTGGCGGATTATGACGCAGAGAGATGTATTCTGAAGANGTGCCAAGGTGTCTTCTTCGGTCACCTACGCCTGAGCCCCCCAATATCTAATCCCTACGTAACAACGAACCGAACACGTGTACAATGTGACTTTTAATATGCGCCCGACAATTATAGCGTTCGTCAAAGTGGAAAATATTAATATTGTGAAGCGCTAGGGGAGATTGATAAATTGGCGGATTATGACGCAGAGAGATGTATTCTGAAGAGGCGCTTTTACAAAACGCTTTTTTTTTTCACTCGTGAAATGATAAGAGTGAACGTCAAGTGATTGCGTTTTGTATTTTACGCGATTGTCAATTTGTTTTTGGTTATTGATAAATAGTTATAGGGTATTCGTCAAATAACAAAATTTGATTAGATTAATTTAATGCGGATTAGCTAATGTACAATTTTGTTTTAATTATGTGAGAAATACATGCACGGTTGTGATTAAAAACTGTATAGATTGTGGCATTACTTTGACAAAACCGCCTGAGAGATAAAATTGCTCTATGAAAGTTACAGCTACACTTTCATTCACAAGGTATGTTTGTTTGGTGATAGATAAGTAGTACATATATTTGTGCAGACATAATCGTTGATTTAAAGGTAAGTTAAAGAATCTAGAGAAATAATAATATTGAATATAAAAATACCAGAAAGGTTTCCCGTACCGGGAATCGAACCCGAGCCTCCTGGGTGAAAGCCAGGTATCCTAGCCACTAGACCATACGGGATATGGATTGGCAACTGAAATTTTAAATTAAGTTCGTACGTTATCAATTTATCTTGAAATTTAATTTTTTATTCTATCTAATCTCCATATTTTTTTAATAATGGACTACTGATGACTAGTTTAGTAATAAAGACGTGACAGCGTAACAAAAAGACAAACTCACTTTCGTATTTATAATACTAAAGTGTAAAGTATAAAATACTAAACTCACTTTTGTATTTATAATAAATGAGTTGTACAACCAGAGATCATCTATGATCTGTGAGTACAACGCGCCCTTTAAGCCCGAACGCTATTGTTTTGAGGCAAAAAGCACACAGACGGCCCCGCCACCGGTACCTAAATGAACGAGTGTCCTTAGTGCGAGATTTTTAACTTATTCGATAGCGAAAAAGTTAACTCAAATTTGTAGTTGGAACGTTTTCCTACGGTTGCCGCTAGGGGCGCTGTTCTGTCATCATAGTCGGTTGCTCTTGGCAGAGCAATCGTGGTCATGTGGAATCCTTGTTAAATAAAGCCTTGACAGAATAGATGTTCTCCATAGTTTGGGAGCTGAGGCTTGGCGCACGCACTCGTTAAGTGGGGTTTTGGTAAAGTCTTTCACTTGATCAATCCAGCACATGGGGTTTCGTCCATGAGATCTTCCGCCATAAGCCCTAGCACTGTTCCAACTGCATACAAATTTGAGTTGACTTTCACGCCATCGAGAGCGTTAAAATACTCGCTATAAGCACACAGGTGTTAACTACACTGTCTTAATCCTCAATTCCATCAGATGGGTTCGTTTATTAATTAATTAGTCTTTGTATTAAAAAATATGTTGTATGTATGTTTCATACAAAAATTACTGAGCATATTTTGACGTAACTTCACAATGTAAATAGCTCTTACACCAAAATAGCGTATGGGTTATAACGTAGTACGAACTATAAGTGGCGCGAGTGTAGTTGCAAGAAATTAGTGTTTCTCGTGCAATTAGTGATAGACAGAGTGATTTTTTTTTATTGCTTAGATGAGTGGACGAGCTCACAGTCCACCTGGTGGGAAGTGGTTACTGGAGCCCATAGATATCTACAACGTAAATGCGCCACCCACCTTGAGATATAAGTTCTAAGGTCTGAAGTATAGTTATTGAATTGTGATTGAGTTTCACCAGTACCTGTAACAATCTTTTGAAGATATTTGATCGCTTCCACGGTTTATTGGTTAACTACAGTCAATATTTACGAGTATACTGTGTGATTCGAGTTAGCCAGAAATTAGATGCCTGATGTCCACGGCCGATGCGATTATGCCGCGATTCAAATTCGCATGCAGTAATTAATTTTACTAACGTAATAAGTAATTTTTGTGTTCACGAAACACATCTGCAGTATAGAAATAATATTATTTCATATTAGGTGATATCAGCTAATACAAAAGAGATTATGATTTGGGTAATTAAAGTATTTATTGAAAAATAAGGAAAGAGATATTTTATCGTGACAGTAAAGTTATATGGACTTCAAAAAGGGCGAACCTTCCTCAAACGGATTTATTGAATTTACGACTATAAATACGTAAAAATAGATGTTATTTTCATACAAAAATAAGTTAGGTATAACATTGCGAAAGAAAACAAAATTACATTGGCTAATTTACCAGCGGAAACTTCGCGTCTCAAATAAAAGAAATAAACATTCGTTAATCGGAAAACGTAAAATTTCATATTTAACCAACAATGACGAGCGTTAGCCAAGTTAAACAACAAGTTACGTATCAAGTTATTACTAACATCAATCCAGTTTTGTTTAATTAGGGGGAAGTGCCCCGTATGTAGATTCTATCTAATAATATACAGTTGTCCGTAACATGAATTTATTATAGTATTTTCTTCCATATTTGCGACATAATTAAAAATACTTTTACGGCTTTATATATTTATGTGTGCATATATTAAACATGGTAGCTAACGAAATGCTTAAATATAGACTAATAGCACCTTATTCGTTGTGACCATAAAATCTGACAATGTAGGACTCAGATATGAATGTGTTTTTATGATAGGACTGATAAATTAAAAATTGGTTTTCGGATGCGAACAGACTAGAATATCGGAAATACTAGGAATGTGTATGTACTTTTTAATTGGCCGACACGTAATAAGCGAATTAACGATGTTCATAATTAACAATATGTGTGAATACCGCCATTTATTGAAGACATGGGGTCAAAATTTTGTATAACCCATTCTTTTTATTTTTTTTAATCCTACCTAAGCTGATAGTCTTAAGAGACCATTTCAGCGTAACCTTAACAATAGATGAGCTCACAGGGTTCAAACCTGACGTCGTTACTAACACTTACCCTAGCAAGAGCAGTGGTTCGCACAATCTACCACCGGCTCGGAAACGCGACCCACTGAGAAGATCCAGCGAGAAACTCAATGGGCTGTGTCTGTGGGTTAATTTACTCACCGAACCCTTCGTGGCAAGCGATGGGTTCGACGAGAACGATGACCGGATAACCCATGATAGCCTAATAAAATAGCT